TCATCTATGTAAACATCCTATGGGACAAGAGAAGCACCAGCTTGTAAGCTATTCCCATAATAAAACTTTGACTTTGACTTTGACTTACACCTCATTCAATAAATCATTGGTGTTAACAATCGATGTAAAATTAATCAGACAATCATGGAGTCTTCAACAAGCACAACACCGATTTGTTTGAACACTCATCCAACGCACTCTTGGATTGCCAAATGAAATATTGCCCATTACAAACAATTTGGCTTAGTTGAGCCGTTCCTCAATCATCACGAAAATTGTACAGATATCCATGTTTATCTCCCCGCCACCAATACTTCGCGCTACTCATAAATTCCTATATACCCTCGTCTTAAATAATCGGATCATTGTCTAATCATCTATCCACAGAATTTCTCCACTTTGTGGCCCATCCTTTTCTCTAAGTGCTTCTTTTGGAGATATGGTTCTATTCGTAAAAGTCTATGGTGTAACTTTCTGGCCGTCTACCCTCGGTATAGCTGTAATTTTATTTCTGACCCGCACACATTGATCCGGAAATCTATGATATCTTGATACAACCACCGGTCAGAATCTTTCGAATGGGTCATCCGTAAATGCATTTTTGCTGTGGGTTGCAAGATCGTCTCTAACCACCGGTGCCACCCTAGCCTCTAGCAATAGCTATGATGGTGTCACAGAAAGTGTCTGGTGATCAATCAAAAGACCGACGACCTTCAAACGGTGAAAGTAGTCTCCTCTCCATGCGATGAGAGCGCATCTTGAACTTTAACGAAAGTCGTCTGGCATAACTTGCCTGTGATTGTCCACTCAGGCACTTTGGTTTCCAGCCCACTTGAGGAAGCTGTGTTCACTTTCAGTTCTACTACCTACACTTCTTCCTTACTGTATTCATTCCTAGCACTACTTTGTTGTTGAAATAGCAAACTGAAATGTCCGCTGAACGTTTGACATACAAAACATTAAGTCACGAGATATGCCCACTGATTGAGAACACACAATAAAGGCAAACATATGTTTTCGGTGAATTCCTGTTCAAGCCTTTACAATCACATTTATATGAAACAATTTCAATAGGGTCAAACAGAAAGGTGGATGAGTCATGTGTTTGGCATTGAGCCCAAGAGAACTCCAAATTTGTGCGCTCTTTGGATCACGTAACCAAAGTTGTTACGTCATTGCCGTATGAACAAGCGATTTTCTCTTCCCTTGGCCAGGGAAGTTTGAGAGCTTGAATCAATTTGCGTTGTGCGCACAGTTCAGGCTTCATGAATCGGATGCTAATCGCCTCTGCCGTTGCTAACGTTCGAAACCTTATTGCTCTCGAGGGGTGTGGTGAGACTCAATAAATGATTGTAAATGCCGAGTTCATGCCAATCAAGTGTCCCGTCTCCACCAGATGAGTAACGTTTCGAGCTTGACACAGCTCCACTCCCACCCTGTGAGCCAGTGTGGATTTTGCACTTTGATCCGTTGAGATAACTGCCTAGTCGTTCGACCTACAAAAGTCGCACCACGGGTGTACTTGAATTGGTAGACAGTCAAAGATGAGGTGAACATAGGCAGTTTATTTTTGTTGTAGCATCGGAAGCTTGGTGACGTAGAGAACATACATTTTAGTTTAGTGGCATTAAATGTAGATTTCACTGCTGAGGATAAAACTCTACCGACTGTTTCAGTGGCGACAACACCTTTAAATGGAAGTTTTATAAAAAGCATTTTCTTCTCCGTTTTGGCATTTTTGTTGGCTTATTCTGTTCAGTCCAAATACGGTCGATAAACTTCTCAGGATAGCCATTTTCCAGCGATGTTCCTTTGACCAAGGGAAAAGAAAATTGCTTGTTCACACGACCATGACGCAACAACTTTGGTTACGTGATCCAAAGAGCGCACAAATTTTGAGTTCTCTTGGGCTCAATGCCAAACACATGACTCATCCACCTTTCTGTTTGGCCCTTTGAAATTGTTTCATATAAATGCGATTGTAAAGGCTTGAACAGGAATTCACCGAAAACATGTTTGCCTATATCGTGTGTTCCTAAACCATTAAGTCCCGACGGTATCTCATCTTTAGAGGTGGACCGTAAGTAAATGACTCGATCAGCCCAAAAGTACATGTGGCTAACGGTATCTAGATGACGAAAAACCACGTAGAGGTGATCATGGGGCTCTCAGACGCTCATTTATTGTCCAGTAGGCGACATAAGCTATTTTTCGATAAATACATCAACTGAGTATTACGACTACTCAGGGTTGTTTTTATTCGTCGATCTGGTTTGGATCGTATCAAACAATGTATAGAGAGTAGGCTAAGTGTTTTTACCTGATCTTCACCTGGGCTAGGTAATTAATGTTTATTTAGATCTATGAGATCTAATCAACCTCGTTCAACGGTTGTGGTTGGCGATCTGTCACGCTATCCAGCCTCTATCAGCATTGTGTTCCATCCATTCCACAAACATGGATTTCAACCTGATAGTTGTGAGATCAGCTCGGAAGGAAACTGAATTAAAGGTAGCAAAGCCTAACTGGAAAAGAATTAAAGGAGGGACAGCAGCGTATATCGTAAGATACCAACAGGCAGCTGATAGTAGACACTGCTCGATGGGCAAATGTTATAACGCCCAACGGTGACTCAATCATAAACTGTGAGACTATTCCAATAATCAGGAGAAATTTGATTTAAAGAATTTTACTAGTGTACGAGATTTCCCACACTCTCTAGATATTGATTTTTATTGCTCATTATGGTCCACTCCTACCAATGCTTCCGCGACGATGTCACTCATCGATATTCTGTGTCCTACCCGTCTTGGTTCATTCACTTCATCAAACATTTTCGATGATCGATCCGAAAGGAGTACTTCAACGAACTAACTTCGATCGTTTAACTGTCTGGAATTGTCTCACTGTGGAACATTCGAAACCGTTGATGTTATACTTGTTCTTCAAATTCGGAAGCCCCTTCCCTCTACCTCCTCGTGGTTTTTCACCTTTTAGACTCCGTATACGAAGGTTCTTCAAAATACTACTATTTTTTCGCGAACGACATTTCTTTTCAGTTTCCCTACTTTTCCTTGTCTATCTGGTTCAAATGCGCCACTTTCTCGAATACTGCAGTGCTGTCCAGGATTGAGACCTTGTCACTCTCATTGTGTCTCAGTTTCTGCAACTATTAACCATGTACTTCCACGAGCCAGTTTCGGTTGCTGGCCCATGACTGCACATTTTGATGAAGGAATAAGGAGAATATTGGAAAGCTAAAATCAGTCTCACGGGTGACAATAAAGAACTCATGAAGACCAAGATTGCAAGGACATTGAGTAGATGCACGAGCACCAGTACTACGGCACATTCATACCACCGTGTCTATAACCATCGATTAAAATCATCCCGATGTACCCATCCAGAAAGTCTAACACCATCTATGTGACGAAGTCTCCTGGTCAGGGTTCTTATACCCTTATTCCAGGTCCTAGCTTGATTACTCTTTATTTCCATCCATCGCCCACCCTGGCGAACAACACGCACCGTGATAATCTTCTCGTTCGGGTTTAATGTAAAGTAATCAGTTTGATCGGTGAGGCTTTACTCACTTCCTTTACACGATACGCAGCTCAATGTCGGGCTGCCTCTTCAATCCGCCTTCAACATTGTTACTAGTATGAAACTTTTCTTCTGTTTATCGACCCGACGCAGTCGGTAAATTACTGTTATTTAATGATTGTGTCCAAACAAACCGGTCTTCTTCATTTTCTTACAATCTTCATACTTCCAAACACAAAATCAACAAATTTCTTTCGATGAGAGTTTATCACCACGGGCTGTTTTCTGCACAGTAAATCTTTACACCATAGTGTCTACCCTCTCGCTATGATCATTCATGTTGATCACAAAATAAAAATCGGCAATGCCAGTTTAAAATACAGCTAACAGACTGAACTAGGTTTTCTCCGGATATCTGTATCGGCTTCGCATTCATTTAGTCATTGTTTGAGTTGCGAGAAAAATAACGTACTTGTTGTGCTGAGATGATAGATTTTACAAACGAAGTTTATACAGGCAAAAAGAAACAGGATAATGCTATCCAGCGAATATGTAGGCCGGTTCAACATGTTCTGCTGGGATAGGGACGGAAGGAGGCGAACTGGTCCGACGGCGCTTCGTGGCCGAGTGAGGACCTTCTTTTGTGAGACCGGCAGCACGGTCGGCATCATCCTGCAACAAATTTCTTTCGATGAGAGTTTATCACCACGGGCTGTTTTCTGCACAGTAAATCTTTACACCATAGTGTCTACCCTCTCGCTATGATCATTCATGTTGATCACAAAATAAAAATCGGCAATGCCAGTTTAAAATACAGCTAACAGACTGAACTAGGTTTTCTCCGGATATCTGTATCGGCTTCGCATTCATTTAGTCATTGTTTGAGTTGCGAGAAAAATAACGTACTTGTTGTGCTGAGATGATAGATTTTACAAACGAAGTTTATACAGGCAAAAAGAAACAGGATAATGCTATCCAGCGAATATGTAGGCCGGTTCAACATGTTCTGCTGGGATAGGGACGGAAGGAGGCGAACTGGTCCGACGGCGCTTCGTGGCCGAGTGAGGACCTTCTTTTGTGAGACCGGCAGCACGGTCGGCATCATCCTGAATGGGCATGGGCATGGGGGGGGGGGAGCGGATTTGGAGAAGGAAAAGACGATACATTGGTGCAGTATAACCTGAATCAGAATGATGCAAAGTCATCAGTATACTTTCCATTTGAATATTCATATTCTTAACTGACCCGTTATATTCGAAACCTTAGGACTCTTTCAGGTTTGGCCATTATACTGGATGCTTTACGAAGTGGTCGTTGTCATAAGAAGACCACTTTGTAAGGATTAAATGGACAGATCAACAGTGCGACTAAATTAAAAAGACCAAGAGTAATGAGTATTGCTTCGATCTATTCACCGCATGAGCAAGAGATCAACCTTTTGGTTCCGGAGGGAACATGAAAGTTGAAAGTTATTGACCCAAACATATCATCAATGAATGTGATTCAATCAATTAATTTGGCTACCTTCCAATAATTACGAAACACTTTTAGGCATTATTTATGTGAATAAGTTTCGGAAAAATAGTAGTGAGGTGACAGACGTAACACATGTTACAATAAACGTAATTTATGGAGATCAGCCACTTGCTCCAGTAGACGACCGCGATTACCTAAAACTCTGTATCCAACCTCAGTACTGCTTGTCCGCTTGTTCCACCAGCTTCGGATAACGGAGCGTACACAGCGATCTTCGAAAACCAACAGTCTATCCTCATCCTGTTCCCGTAATGGAGAAATCTCTGCACCGTACATTGACACGGATTGAACTGCTGCAGCATACATGCAACCCTTCACAGACAGTCGGATGTCGCGAAGGGGCAACAGATATCTCAGGCGGGCAAATACCAATCGAGCCTTTAGTGTACGTGCTGACACTTCATCTGTGATGCGTCCACCAGGTGAGATACAGCTACTCGGATAGCAAAATTTGTCTACCTACCCTACTACTGTGGCAGTTAAAGTGAGGTTGGGGGAGGCTGAGCCAACACAGTCCTGGACCACCGTCCAATAACATTTGTTCGCTATACGATGACATTGAACACGTTGAAGGTGAAAAATGCGTGCCGAACATGGCTAAACTATGATAGGTGTTCTGTTGAACTGCACGACAGCAAATCTGTTTACCAAGATTAAAATTTATTAGTTCACTAAAGGCTCGATGGGATCGGAGTTTGAGGCTGAATTTTGGTAAATAATAAACAAACGGTGACAACAAATATTGGGAGCTAACCTGCGTGTGTGGTGTGTCCTCTAACGCCTTTAATCGACGTTTGTGTGGTTTGCTGTTTCGATGGGTATCTAATGTGTGCTGATTAATGAAGTATTTTGCACAGGACACACAAAAGTATTGTCCCAACCCCGGTAAATCTTCATCGATTTCTGTCGCTTCAGCCAAACGGCGGTCAACATTCTCCTCCTTCACATCTTCATAAATCTGAAAAAATGGCGATTGTACAAAAACAGCAGGTCGCATAATCCAAATATAGAATATAGAGGAATCGTATAAAAAAACGATGAATACATAGCGTCTGCGTACCTGATCTATATCTCGCGATCGATTTTTTACCTTGTAACGTGTATTACGGGCACCTTTCCGGCCCATTGGATTAAATATGATGAGGTTGGCGCAGCTGTGATAAAGAGAAATAGAACAGGATGAAGTTCTTAAAAGCAAGGTAAAAAGGCCAAATAAACTCATAAGAAACGGTTGAAATAGCCCCAAAACAACGCTATCCTATTTTGCAAACACTGCTCTTTGTGCAACGCATACCGAACATAAAGACACTAGCATTTAAACTATCCAGAGCAGCTTGCAACTTACCTGGATCTTCACTTAGTAGCATAATTTCGTCTGCATACTCCAGATCAGACAGTCTACCACCTAGGAGTAAATCGATGCCACTATCCTCGCACGAGGATAGGGCTGTTTCCATAATCAGATCTATAACAAAATTAAAAGAAAGGAAAGAGAGGGCAACCCTAACGAACACCACTTTCCGTGGTGAACTCGGGCGAAAAAGTGCCGTAAGCCCAGACTCGACTTCGGCTATTGTATAAACGGATTGTAACATTAAAATAAACTTCTCGGGCACATCTTTCAGAGAAAGGCAGCGTCAGAGTTTAAAGCGGTCGACTGAGTCGAAGGCCGCTTTCAAATCAAGAAACACAGAGATGGTGGATGTAGGAAAAGAATGTCGATGGTTCAGAACTTGGCGAAGAGTGAATATGTGGTCGATACAACCTCGACCAGGCCTAAAACCAGCCTGGTTCTCACGCGTGCACCATTCACGTGCGGCAGACAATCGGCGGAGTATGATGCCAGCGAGAAGTTTAGAGAAGATGTTGATTAAACTAATTCCTCTATGGTTTTTACAAGAGGATCTATCACCTTTCTTGTGAATCGGTATGATCACCGACTCACACCATTCAGCTGGAACCTCCTCTCTTTCCCATATTGAAGCCCAGGAGTTTTGTCACCTCCGAGACTAACGCTAAGTCTTCATCTTTAAACGCTGATGGGAACAGCCTAACTGGGCCGGAGGCTTCATGCCTTTCTAGATGACTTATTTCCCGGGAAACCTCCATTTCAGATAGAGGACTGGCATCAACTGCGAGTATTTTTCCCAGCCGCCGTGGGGTGATAGGTCAGACGTCGATGGGGGCCAATTGAAGTGAACCACGAACTGTTCAGCCCACCGGTTAAGACAGCGTTGCTGATGGTGAATCAGTGTGCTATCGGATTCCTTAATTAACTCACGCCTGTTTTCCTGGGCCCGGTATTCCGAATTAGACGAAAAAGATTGCGAATATTACCTATGGTCGCGGCTTTCTCCATCTCTATGCACTTTTCTACCTACCACTCCTCGCGGTCATTCTTCATACTCTTGACGAGCTGGTGTTTAAGGGATTTGCGCGCTGTCATATGTGGCATCAGGAGGAAGGATTCTGCGGGCAGCCGAGGTCGACGAGATCCATCGTTTGTGTTTTAAACCCGCGATAGGGTCCAACGTTGTTTTTATCGATATTTGCATAGCTTCCTTGAGTGGCTTCCAATATTTATTGAGTCTTTCGGCTGGCAGTTGAACTGCAAGGCGATCAGAGAGTTCCGCTTCGAAGGCTGATTTGCAACAATCGTTGACATTATATCGTAGGAATCCGTTGTCGGTGGCTTTCTTGCGGTTGGTTGCCAGGCGTAAGGAGAACCTGGCTCGTAACAAGGCATGGTCTGTATCTACAGGTGTTGACCAGTAAGAGCAGCAGTCTTGAATCAACCCCCTCAAGCGATAACTGATGGCAATGAGGTCGATTTGGGTCCAGCGCTGTGAAGAGGTCGGCGGCTTCCATGTGAGACGGTCGTTCCTAGTGCAAAAAGTTCGTGCTTGACAGGAACAATCAGTGATCCACGCAGAGCGGGCGATTTCCGTTGTCCGTCCGGAGTGCTGGGATGGCATGCGGTCCGCCAACAAATTTTTCTAATTCGTCCATGAATCCCACTTGAGCATTGAAGTCTCCGGTAACTACTACGACATCCGATGACTGAGTACTTTGGAGTTATTGAGAAAGGTCCTTGTAGAACTCATCCTTGATTCCAGGTATACTGCAATCGGTCGGTGCATACACCGACACGACGAGTAAGCATCGATGCTTTATTCTGAAATTGTTGACCCGTGATGAATCGTTGAGACGTACAGCACACAGTCGGCTGCTGGCTGGAATCCAGTCAGGAAACGAGCGTTCAGCCTTGGCACTTAGCGCAATCCCAACACCAGCAACACCGCGAGCTTTGGATGCCGAATCGTTCGACACACGAAGAGTGAAGCGTGAGGTTGAGGTTGGATCAGGAGAACGCATGGAGATAACTGAAGTAGGGTGTTGTATGCGTGTTTCGGAGACAACATACATCTAAAATGAAAGTTTCAGGGGTTCTAGCTAAGGTAGTTGGTTGGCCAATCTGATGGAGTGTGCGGACATTGAACGCGGCTAAGTGGAAAGGGGATTTTGACTTTAAAAATCCTATAACTTCTGATTGTCTGGCCTTGCTGGTAAAACGCTGAGTGATATCCGATGGGTCTCGTAAGCAGGAGGCATCTGGGATTATTGGGAGTTGAGAGGAAGGACTACAGATGGGAGATTTCTCCAAATGAGTGCCTAAGATTTTAGGGTGCGATATACTTCGCGGCAGCCCACACCGACGAAGGGGTTCTTCTTTGGAAACCCTAACCGGAGCCTTCGACTCAAGAATATGACTCAAAAGGCAGTGGGGCGTAAATCCAACGCGGGGGCGTGATTGAATCACCCGTGAGGGAGATTCTGGAGACCTGTCACGCAAGGCCTTCAGTTCAGTGTGTTGTTCGCTGGTGCGTTCATTATCGGTTTGCTGTTCTGGATTGGCCCTTAGTCTCGTGCACCGAATGAAACAAGCGGAACGTGGACGGGACAGCACCTTATTGGCTTGCGGTTGCCCAGCTTGGGCGGGCGATAGCTATCCGATGAAGTGAAAACTTCCCCTACCGTCGAGAGTAAGCCCCACGTGCCCCGCTCCTATGTTTATCTAGCGGAGCCTTTTTGACCGGTTAACTACCCCTCACCGTGTTTATTTACTGGAGTGACCTCTCCAGGGGCGGGTGGGTAAAAGAAGGAAGCCAAAAGGTGCCCAAGCAGCTGGCTTTGTGAGACTGAGCTTTACCTGGCCTCTACCCATTGACCTTTCAGGAATGATTGGATTTACAGCCTTGAAAAGCCATTCTGTATAGCTCGCAGGGTCATGGAGGTAAGCAAGCCATCACACTAGGTGCAGTCTTGTCGTGATGGACTTCGGTTATTAGTATAAAGGGATCGTAATACTGAAATAAACTTCTCTGACACCCTGGGGAAAGGCAGTGCCAAAGTCTACAGCGGTCAACTGAATCAAAATTCGCTTTTAGATCAAGGAAGATAGAAATAATGAATCTACAAAAAAGATTCCTGTACTCTTGAATTTGGTGAGGAGTGTGATCGATACAGGCACAACTAAGTCTAAAATCAGCCTGCTCCTCACGCGTGCGGTAGACAATCGAAGGAGTATTTTGTCAGTGAGGAGTTGGGAGACAACGTCGCTCAAACTAATTCCTCTGCGAATTTCACAAGAAGACCTATGACATTTCTTGTAAATCGATAAGATAACCCATTCACATCATTCAGTTGGAACCAGTTCGTTCTCTCATACTGAACCCAGGAGTTTCGCCACCTCCAAGACCAACGCAGAAGCTAAATCCCCAAAAGCCGATAGACACGGCCCATCCCAGCCGGAGGGCTTATACCTTATGTGATAACTTATATCCCTGGTAACCTCCATTTCGGATGGAGGACTGATATCAACTGGCAGTATTTGCCCTGTTGAGGTATGGATAACCAGGTCTAACGTCCACGCCAGTTGAACTGAGTCTCAAAATGCTCAGCCCATCGTACCAGACAGCGCTGCCGAATCAGTCAGTGTACCGTTGGACTCTTTGATTATCTCACGCCCACTTTTCGTGAACCTATAACTAGGTGAAAAAATTGCGAGTTTTACCAATAGCTGCAGCCCTCTATCTATCTACACTTTGAAAATCACCTCTTCTCGCGGTCAGTATTTAGGCTCCTGGAGAAGTTGTGCTTTAGGAATTTGCGCGCTATCATATTTTGCTTCTAGAGCAATGATTCTATGGGTGTCCAGCAAGGCAGCGTCAGATCCTTGAGCTGCGTCATACTCACCGTCGGCCAACGATTGCAGTGTTCCTTGACCTGAAAGGAGCCTTCGACTCAGTTGAACGCGAAGCTCTTATGGGCTCCCTTCTTCGAAAAGGAATGCCCCAGAAGTACGTTAACCTACTGAAGTCACTGTACTCACATATCTCCGGTCGTGTAAGGGTCTAAAACGAACTAAGTAGGCTGTTCGTCACCAGCAGCGGTGTTCGTCAAGGGTGCTCTCTTTCGCCGTTCCTGTTCAATTTCGTCGTAGAGGAAATACTGGAGAGCGAACTAGGGGTACTCAAAAACGTTAGTGTTGAATGGACAGCTGGAGAAAAGCTATGCGATTTGGAGTATGCCGATGATATCGTCTGTC